AACTCCCAGCACTGTATGCAGGTTATCAAAAAGTCTGGGGCCACTAAAAATGGCCCCAGCTGACAGAGGGAAGCCCTTCTATTGATACCTGGGTTTTCTAGTGTGAGCAAGGATTCAACCCTGCTCACACTGCATTGCTGTCTATGGGGATTTAAATCCCCATTTAAACAGCTGCATGCCGATTTCACTTTGAGGTCTGCATGCAGCTCCGCTGTCAGTCTGGGGACATTAAAAAAGACCCCAGCTGACAGAGGGGAGCCCCAGGTTTCTAATAATACCAGGGTTTTCCTGGTGTGAGCAGGGATTTAACCATGCTTACACCACAATCTAGATATAGGTATTTAAATGCCTATTTAAGATGATACATGCCACACTGACTTCCAGCACTGCATGTAGCTCATCAGAAAGGCTAGGGTCACTAAAAATGTCCCCAGATGATAGAGGGGAGCCCCAGGTTTCCATTGATACCTTGAACTCCCTTGTGTGAGCAGGGATTTAACCCTGATCACACCAAATCGTTATAGTGGGAATTTAAACCCCAATTTAAATGGTTGTTTGCAGCACTCAAATGATACCTGGGGCTCATAGTTACCAGCAAGGTAAAAGACCCTGCTGGAAATACTGCTTGGCAGAAATTTTCCATCATGCGGTCTTAAAGGACCACTACAGGCACCCAGACCACTTCAGTGAAGTGCTGTGGGTGCCAGGTCCATCTAGGGTTAACCCAGCCTGCTGTAAACATAGCAGTTTCAGAGAAACTGCTATGTTTACATAAGTGTTAATCCAGCCTCTAGTGGCTGTCTCATTGACAGCCGCTAGAGGCGCTTCAGCGCTTCTCACTGCTGAGAAGATGCTGACGTCCGTAGGAAAGCATTGAGAAATGCTTTCCTATGGACTGATTGAATGCATGCGTGGCTCTTGCCGGGCATGCGCATTCAGTGCTGACACCCTCAGAGAATGGGACCCTGAAGGTGGGGGGGGACCCAAAGACCCTATAGTGCCAGGAAAACAAGTTTTGTGAGGTGAGAGAGACAGATCAGTTCGTGATAGTTTGTTGCCAGTGTCAAAGTGTTGCTAGAAGTTCCAAAACCTGTGAAAAAGTAAAACAAAAAAACAAAACAACCCATTTTAACCCCTTCTCTGCCAATTCCTGTTACAGCAGTGCATTTGTGCTGTCTGTATTTTTTATTTTTTTGCCCTTAAAGGGACCATAACAACTACAGCTTATTGAATTTGTTCTGGTGAGTAGAATCATTACCGTCAGACTTTTTGCTGTAATCACTGTCTTTTCTGAGAAAATGCAGTGTTAACATTACAGCCTAGTGATAATTTTACTGGCCACTCCTCTTATAGCTGTTAGAGATCCTTCCTGGGTCATGGTTGCCTAAAATGCATCCAAACATTCAGTATCTCCTCCCTCTACATGCAGACACTGAACTTTCCTCATAGAGATTCATTGATTCAATTCATCTCTATGAGGAGATGCTGATTGGCCAGGGCTGTGTTTGAATCATGCTGGCTCTGCCCCGATCTGCCTCTTTGTCAGTCTCAGCCAATCCTATGGGGAAGCACTGTGATTGGATCAGGCTACCAGTTCTGCTGATGTCAGCAGACAGCTTGTTTTTCTGAGGCAACCGCACGCAGAGTTACAGCTTCAGGCTTGAATACAGTAAGAATTTGCTATATTTGTGGATGAATGAGGGGCCCAGGGGTCTAGATGGTGGTGTTAACACTATAGGGTCAGGAATGCATGTGTGTGTTCCTGACCCTTTAGTGATCCTTTAAGGTTTTAATAAGCTGTTTTAGTGTGTTTAAGACTTTTTAATTTTTTAATTTTTATTTTTAATTTTTTTTTTTTTTTAATAAGTATCAAATTTTAGTCAGTCGGTTTCCTTCCACCAAATCTCCATTAGATTCTTTTTGCAGGAGTTAGTTTAGCGATTGCCACTAAAGGACGTTTTAGTCTATTTAACAAAAAAAAAAAAACCTTAACATTTATTTTTTATTTTTTTTGTGTTTGTTAGCAATTTGTGTTTGTTAGCAAATTGTTAGTTTTGTGTCAGGCAGTGTGTTGGTGAAACATGCAGTTTGGAGGAGGCATATGCCTTTTTGGCGTCAGACTCTTGATTCCACTGACACTGCGGCTGATTTTGACCCAGGTCAGTTTTCCGACACGTCTAGTGACACGTCATCTGTCTGTGAGCTGGCTGCAAAAAGAAGCTGTGCTTACCCTGCTATGCCGAATATGGAGGAGGACTGGGTACCTCAACCGTTAGTTGAGCCCATCATATCCCCCCTTTTAATGCCAACGCAGGCATTAATGTCAATGTGGATTACATATCCCCTATGCAATACATGAAGATATTTTTAGGGGATACCATCTGGGAGGAGATTGCTTCCCAGACTAATTTATATGCTATGCAATCCAGGTTGCTATGTAGTCAGGGAGCATGCCTGGCATCCCACAGATGTCCCTGAACTCAAAAAATTCTGGGCTTTTACAATTCTCATGGGGATAATAAAGAAGCCATCAATTTGCTCTTACTGGAGCACCAACCCAATCTGTTCTAGTCCAGTGTATTCCCAAACCATGTCTTGAACAAAATATAGGTTGGTGCTGAGATACTTTCATTTCAATGACAAAACCCTCTGTAACCCCAGAGATCACCCCCAATATGATAGGCTTCATAAAATACGCCCAGTGGTAGACCATCTTCAGCACAGATTTTCAGAAGTTTATACTCCCCAACAAAATGTATCCATTGATGAATCCATAATGAAATACAAAGGGAGATTAGGAGTCAAACAATACATTCCCTGAAAGCGCGCTAGGTATGGCGTCAAATTGTACAAATTGTGCGAGAGCGAAAGTGGCTATACGTTTGCCTTTCGCGGATATGAGATGAAAGTTGGTCAACTTGACCCTCCTGGCTGTCCTGACTCTCTGGTGACAAGTGGGAAAATTGTTTGGGACCCACTGATCCCCTTGTTCAATAAAGGCTACCACCCTTATGTGAACTATTTTTATAGCAGTGTCCGGTTGTCTAAAACGCTTTATGGTTTGCAGACACTAGCCTGTGGCACTGTGAGAAAAGATTTTCCAAAGATTTCCCCAGACCTCTCATAGAGGCCAAATTAAAAAAAAAGGTGAATGTAAATCTCTGCGCAAAGCAGAAGTGCTTGCAATAAAATTTAAAGGACCACTATAGTGCCAGGAAAACATACTCGTTTTCCTGGCATTATAGTGCCCTGAGGGTACCCCCACCCTGAGGGTCCCCCTCCCGCCAGGCTCTGGAAAGGGGAAAGGGGTTAAAACTTACCTTTTTCCAGCGCTGGGCGGGGAGCTCTCTGCCTCCTCTCCTCCTCCGTTCCTCCTCCTGGGCTGAATGCGCACGCGCGGCAAGAGCTGCGCGCGCATTCAGCCCGTCGCATAGGAAAGCATTTGCAATGCTTTCCTATGGACGCTTGCGTGCTCTCACTGTGAAAATCACAGTGAGAAGCACGCAAGCGCCTCTAGTGGCTGTCAATGAGAGAGCCACTAGAGGAAATAGGGGGAAGGCTTAACCCATTCATAAACATAGCAGTTTCTCTGAAACTTCTATGTTTATAAAAAATGGGTTAACCCTAGAAGGACCTGGCACCCAGACCACTTCATTAAGCTGAAGTGGTCTGGGTGGCTAGAGTGGTCCTTTAAGAACATGAAGGATGTTACATGCTAACCACCATCCATGACGAAAGCATGTCAGACGTCACTGTCCGAGGCAGAGTACATTCCAAACCGGTTTGTATCAGGGCTTTTAACAGGCACATGGGGGTTGTAGATTTGGCTGATTTGGCTGATGCATCCATATCTTATTTTAAGAAAAACTAAAGCCTGGTATAAATAGGTGGCGATCTGATGCAAGAAGCAACCCACAATTCGTTTTTACTCTTTTTTTAAAAAAAAATTAATCCTGGAAAAATCACTCCCCAATTTCAACTTGAAGGACCGGTATAGCGCCAGGAAAGCAAACTCTTTCCTGGCACTATAATGTTAATAGGTCCACCCTCCCGCCGGGCTCTAGGGGTAGGAAGGGGTTAAACTCTTACCTTTCTCCAGTGGCAGGCTCCCTCGGAGCTGGGGTCTCTCCTCCTCCTTCCAACGTCATTGACTGAATGCATTCAGTCAGTCCATAGGAAAGCATTCTCAATGCTTTCCTATGGACACTGGCGTCTTCTCACTGTGAAAATCACAGTGAGAAGCGCGGAAGCGCCTCTAGCGGCTGTCAATGGGACATCCACTAAAGGCTGGATTAACCCATATGTAAACATGGCAGTTTCTCTAAAAACTGCTATGTTTACTGCAGGCAGGGTTAACCCTAGATGGACCTTGCACCCAGACAACTTCATTAAGCTGAAGTGGTCTGGGTGCCTATAGTGGTCCTTTAACCCCTTAAGGACCAAACTTCTGGAATAAAAGGGAATCATGACATGTCAAACATGTCATGTGTCCTTAAGGGGTTAAAGTGATTTCCACAAGGGATCGACCGATATTGATTTTTCAGAGCCGATACCGATACCAATATTCTGTGAACTTTCAGGCCGATAGCCGATATAATTTGCCGATATTCTGTACATTTACCATTTTGGAAAATAAAAACTATTTCTAAAGGTAAATGCACAAAATATACATGCCACGTGTAGTGGATGCAGTGTGACAGGGGAGCTGTGTGTGTTTGTGTAGTGTGTGTAGTGGATGCAGTGTGTGTTTGTGTAGTGTGTGTTATGGATGCAGTGTGTGTTTGTGTAGTGTGTGTGGAGGATGCAATGTGTGTTTGTGTAGTGGATGCAGTGTGTATTTGTCTAGTGTGTGTATTAGTGTAGTGTGTATATAATGAAAGCAGAGTGTTTGTGTAGTGTGTGGGTAGTGTGCATAAAGTGAATGCTGTATATACTAAATGCAAAGTGTGTGTGTGTATAGTGAATGGTGTGTTTATATAATGCAGAGTGTGTGTGTTTGTATAGTGTGTGTATATAATGCAGTGTGTTTGTGTAGTGTGCATTATATAAACACACTACACAAACACACTGCATTATATACACACACACACTGCATTATATACACACACACACTACACAAACACTGCATTATATAAACACACTACACAAACACACACACTGCATTATATACACACTACACAAACACACTGCACAAACACACTACATAAACACACACCGAATTATATAAACACACTACACAAACACACATTATATACCCACACTACACAAACACACACTGCATTATATACCCACACTACACAAACACACACTGCATTATATACCCACACTACACAAACACACTGCATTATATACACACACTATACAAACACACACTGCATTATATACCCACACTACACAAACACACACTGCATTATATACACACACTGTACAAACACACACTGCATTATATACACACACTGTACAAACACTTGTATGCATTATATATACACACTGTACAAACACACACTGCATTATATACCCAGTGTGTTTGTGTAGTGTGGGTATATAATGCAGTGTGTTTGTGTGCATTGTATACAAACACACACACACACACTATACAAACACACACTGCATTATATACACAGTGTGTTTGTGTAGTGTGTGTATATAATGTAGTGTGTGTTTGTGTAGTGTGGGTATATAATGCAGTGTGTTTGTGTGCATTGTATACAAACACACACACACACACTATACAAACACACACTGCATTATATACACAGTGTGTTTGTGTAGTGTATGTGTATATAATGCAGTGTGTGAGGGGGCATTTTTTATTAAATTATATAAAAAAATAATTATATTTACTTAATTATTATTTATTTCTGTTGTCCCCCCTCCCTGCTTGTTACCTGGCCAGGGAGGGGGGATATGACAGTCCCTGGTGGTCCAGTGGTATTGGCTGAGCTCTGGGGGGGCGGAGAGCAAGCGCTTACTCACCTGCCAGCAGCTCCTCCAGCTCCCCAGTGCAACTCTCGCGGCCAGCGTGTCGCGCGGAGCGTTGCCATGGTGATCCATGGCAACGCTCTGACGGCCGCTGGTCTCGCGAGAGTTGCACTGGGGAGCTGCTGGGAGGTGAGTAAGCGCTTGCTGCCCGCCCCCCCAGGACCGCCGGGCTTGTAATGAGCCCGGCGGTCCCAGGAGGTATTATCGGCAATATCGGTATCTGAATTGGCCGATACCGATATTGCCGAGAATACCGAATATCGGCCGATTATATCGGTAAAACCGATAATCGGTCGATCCCTAATTTCCACTATCATTTATGGAGATGGTTCCATTGAAGTTTCATCAACGGTGCCAGAGAAACCCAGAATTGGTGCTACGCATTTTATTTTCAAGATTCCTGCCAACTGCAAATAAAACAAATCCCCAGAAACATTGCCGGGTCTGTTTTAAAAAAGGGAAAAGGACAGACACCCCCTTTTAATCTCCCGATTGCCCTTCAAATCCTGTACTGTGTATTTGAACATGTTTTAAGCTCTACCACACAGTACATACCTTTTTGTAATACTTGTTCCTGAACTTTTTTTTTTTTTTTTGAAAGTGGAAAATTTTAATCGGTCAGTTTACTTTCCCCAAATCTCCAGTTAGATTCTTTTTGCAGGAGTTCGTTTAGAGATTGCTGCTAAAGGTGCATTTGTTACCTGCACAGTTGGTTAAAAAAGTTTTTTTTTCGCAGAAATCTGTAGGGGAGAGAGGGACATGTATTCAGGGGACTTTTGCAGAAAAAAAACTGGAGTCTTTTCTGGCAGTAACATATAACCTGCTGGCTTAACTCAAAAAGCAGAATTCAAAAATTATCACCATGCAAGTTCTCTGAAATTTTGTAGCACAATGGGTGGGGGAAGAATGTAGAAACACCCCATGTACAATACCCTGGAATGTCTACTTGATATAAATATATACTTTCATGATGGTAACACTAAGTGGGGGATGCAAAAATACACAAAACTGAAGGTAGGCCAAGCATACCTATATATCAAGTTAAAAACTGTCACAAGTCACAGCAAACCTCTGAATGGGTGGTATCACTGGACTCATGAGATATTGCTGAACATGGGTTGGGGTGTTACTTGGCAATGATTTGTAACAGGATCTGTTAATTCATGCTTATAGTACAGTGTTTGTGGGAAAAAAAAACAAAAAACCAGAAAACAAATTACTACCCAAATGTTTGACAAAGGCTGGTGGTAGAATTCAGTGCATGAAAAGTGTTAAAATGCCACTATTTAAAATACCCTGGGTTGTCTACTTTTCAAAAATATATGGTTTGATGGGTGTAAAATACATTGACCGGCTTAAATGTCCCATGTAGAACATGGGTGCAGATTGACTACATGTCAAAATTCTAAGTTGGAAAACGGATATGCGCACCTGCCAAATGTGGCCTTTTAGCCCCCTAACAAGCCGGCAAGCCTATGCATGGGTGGTATCACTGTACTCTCGAGATGTTGCTGAAAACATATTAGTGTGTTTTTTGGCAGCAACACATTACATGATCTGTGAATTTATAACTGAATTGCAATATATGTGTAAAAAAAAATAAAGTACCTATGTGAAGATTGGCAAAGATTGGTGGTAAAATGGCTGCATAGTAAGTGTAAAAATATCCTTGAATGAATACCCTGGGTTGTCTACTTTAACCCCTTAAGACCGGAGGGCGTACTATTACGCCCTCTTTTAGGCGACTCTAAACGCTGCCGGGCGTAATAGTACGCCCTCCGGTCTTTCTATACTTACCCGGTCGCCGGCGATCCCACGCCGGCGATCACGGTTGGGGGTCTCCCAGGGAGCCCCCGCGGCACGTCCAACCCCCTGGCAGCCCTCCCGGCCATGTGAGAGTGAGGTCCTTGCGAGGACCTCACAATCACATGCTGGGTTAGCTGTCTGCTGTATTGCCAGCAGGGTGGCTGCCTGTAACGACATGTGATCCCCCTGCTGGCTAAAAAAAGTTAAATAAGTGTAAAATATATATATTTAGATCATATAAATATATAATATATATATATAAGTATATACATACACACACACATATACTGTCTATATAATTATATATATTAATATCAAATTACACGTAGACTGATAATTAAATATATATGTAATTATTGTTATATATATTTATATATAATATAAAAAAAATATGTAAATACCTTAAATTTAATTAAAAATTTTTAAAAAAAATAATTAAAAAATAGATGTTATTTCGTTCTAACTGTATTGTGATATTTATATATATTTATATCAAAATACACGTAGAACGATATATATATCTATATACATAAATATATACGTATATATCACTATACCTATATACAAAAAAATATTTAAAAAAAATTATATACATATATACATATATTCACATACGTATACATATATTAATTCTACATATATTTTTATGTAATATTTTTACATAATTAGGTATCTTAATTAAAATTAGCGGGACTTGCCTGACAACCCATGCCGAAAGTAAAGGGAATTTAATTTGCTAGCACTATATTTAACCCTATAACTTTCCGAGACACCATAAAACCTGTACATGTGGGGTACTGTTCTACTCGGGAGACTTCGCTGAACACAAATATTAGTGTTTCAAAACAGTAAAATGTATTACAACGATGATATCGCCAGTAAAAGTGACGTTTTTTGCATTTTTCACACACAAACAGCATTTACACGGACGATATTATTGCTGCGATACTTTTTACTGTTTTGAAACACAAATATTTGTGTTCAGCGAAGTCTCCCGAGTACAACAGTATCCCTCATGTACAGTTTTTATGGTGTTTTCAAAAGTTACAGCGTCAAATATAATACCATTTGCAATAATAGACAACCCAAGGTATTGCAAACGGGGTATGTCCAGTCTTTTTTAGTAGCCACTTAGTCACAAACAAATACTAACACTAACTTTGACCAGTGTTTGTGACCAAATGGCTACTATAAAAGACTGGACATACCCCATTTGCAATACCTTGGGTTGTCTACTATTGCAATTGATATGCCATTATGGGTGTAAATTTCTTTCCTGGGCTACTATAAAGTCCCAAAGGCAACGTAACCAATCTGGCGAATTTCAATTTCAAATGTAACGTCCTATATTTGACCCTGTAACTTCCCAAAACGCCATAAAATCTGTACATAGGGGGTACTGTTTTACACGTGAGACTTTGCTGAATACAAATATGTGTATTTTATTGCCGTAAAAGCAAACAGTATTATGACATTGACCGTTAAAATGTCATGTAGAACTAAAAAAATCTTATTTTCTCCCATTTTTTTCATATTAAATTCTGTTTCATAGCTAAATATTTGATATTAAATGAAAGCTCTGTTTCCCCTGAATAAAATGATATATAATAAGGGTGGGTGTATTTAATATGAAAGAGGTGTATTACGGTTGGACAGACATGTAGCGCAGATGCCAGGTTTTGTTTACATTTTGTTTTGTTCACAACGTGTACATTTGGCTCCATCCTTAAGGGGTTAAAAAACAAACAAACAAAAAACATTCGGGGGCGGAGCCTGACCTCGGAAGAAGATGGACACTTGAACCCACAGCTCCCAATAGCAATGTAATCAGCTACCATCCGCATTCCCCTTTGTACCCACACCCCGATACCGATCTCTACCAACTCTGAACACCCTGCCTAACACCTGTTATCATGGGTGGCAGGAAGAAAAAAGGATCACACACCATCAGTCGCATCGCTGTTTCGTACACCGGTAGACCCGCAGAGGCCTACCAACTCCCAACGTATGGAAGAAGCTGGCTCCGACTCTGAGGGGTATGACTCCTCCCGATCCCATGGCCCCCCTTACTTTAGGGATACTCTGCGGCATGCTGCATGAAGCCACAGCCGACATAAAAACCCACGTGGCCACCGAAATCAATAAGCAACTGTCGGGCCTCAAAGCTGACATGGCTGCACTGTCCTCCAGAGCAAACCAGTCAGAGACCCAACTCTCCACACTCACGGCGACTACCACAGCCCATACCCAGGACATTTACCTACACGGCTGTATGTCCGTCCTTGTAGACGGCCTTGAAGATCTCAATAACAGATCGAGGATAAACATCATCCGCATATTTGCACCTACCCGAATCCATCTCGCCTGAACTGCTAATTCCCCCACTAAGGGACATTTTCAGGGCCATGGCTCCAGAAATTACTGCAAGAGACCTGAAGATGGATAGAGCACACCGGGCCCTGCGCCCCCCAAGCCTCAACGTGGCCACCCCAAGAGACGTTATCACCCGTCTCCACCATTTCCTGGCAAAAGCGAAAATGCTACACGCAGCTAGAGACCAAGCCCCTAAATATAAAGACTCCCGGCTTTCCTTTTTTCAGAAACACCCTTTCAAACTATTTGTCAGAAAGGACGACCAAACTCACATACGGATGTCTCCAGCCGACATGGGCCCCTTTGCAGACTCGCTGGGAATACAACTCCTGAACCACACTCCCCTGTCCGAGAACTAGGGAGACGACCAACCCCGGGACAGGCCTTGATCCCCGTACCTATCAAAAATGAAGAAAATGCCCACGCCACTTGATAAGGCTGCCTTGGAAACCCAGGACCACTGATCGGAATCCTGGCCAAAGATGATACACTCCGAGAGCGCCAACGTCCCAACATACATACCTAAGCCAGGTATGCAACTGTACTCAAACAGCCCAACGCACTGGCCCTCTGGCCGACATGGCCCCCAATTGACCGCCTTCTTGCTCCTGCCACGCTGGCTCCAATCTACCCGGTCTTAATCCTTCACTGCAGTACTTACCTCCAGGTTCTCTCGGACTTCCCTGGGACACTGCCAATATCCTCGTTCCCCTCCACTTTTTGCTTCTCGAGGGACCCACCTCCCAGTTTGCAGACGACACCTGCCCCTAACCCTCAGACTTACCGCTCTTGGGACACCTGGGCGCGGCTCTTGGCCCCACCACCAGATGGGCACTGCTATAAACGCCAACGGACAACTGAACCTGTGGGGGTTAAATACCTGACCCCCACCCATCCTAACAAAGACTTGAACTGGATGCCGAGCCTACCAAGTTGAAGCGACGCTCCTTGCACCTGCCATACACCAGAGCCCCGCTCGGCTCTCCATGTATGATAGGCGTATACTTGAACCGAGTGACTTTAAACGCATGGGGACACCAACCGAACTACGGATGGTAACACAACTCTTGCTCGGCCTCTCCGACCACTACACACCTACCGGACATCCCAAGTGGGCAAACTGACCCACGCCGCACCACACCAGGGGGAGACCAACACGGGGAAAGTCTCTGGGTGACAAAATCCCCCATACTGGCACGGGCCCGTAACACAGTCCATGACCTATAAAAACCTTTAGTGGAAATCTACACCAAGTGCATGGGGTGGAGGGGAGACGGGAACGTGAAAACCTTCCTCTTTCCACCCCACAGACACAAGCCCCTCCTAGGGCATCTCACAAACATGGCACCACCACAGCCTCCCACACCACCTTGCGGCAAAACCGTAAGACCAGGACTCGCCTCCCCCCGCCGTCTAGCTCCCCATACCACCCTCCCCCCACCCCCCAGGAGAGCGGGCCGGATCCCGGGGCTCACCCCACTCGACCGATCACACAAAGCCGACCATGCCGAAGACAATCTCCTGCATATCACTCAATTGCAAGGGCCACAACAGCCCGGCAAAACGACATAAAGTACTCCTTGGACATCAAGTACTCCATTGGGCGAACCGCACAGGGGCAGAAATAATCCTCCTTCAAGAATCCAGGCCCTTTCCCCTAAAAAATAGAAACTACACAGAATTCCACTCGGCAAAGTCCCAGAGTGGCAAACACAAGTTTATCGCTGATCCATAAATCATGCCCCATCCGATTCACACGTACGATCTCCGACCCCCAGAGCAGATTCCTGACCATTGCAGGTCAACACTGCAACCACAAATATGCAATAATATCCATAAACGCCCCTAATGCCCCCGACGCGCCCCTTTGGTCATCCATGCGGGCCCACCTTAAACTTTTTACCTCTCACCACTTGATAGTCGAGGGGGGACCTTCAATGCGGTCATAGCCCCTCACATAGATCGGAAACAAACACTGTCTAACAGAACCAGGACTCGCCTACTAGATTGGACAAGGCATTTTTAAACTTTACACAGCAAACAGGCCTACAAGACATCTGGAGATTACAACACCACACATTCCCATACTTTACCTTCTACTCGAATCCACACTCCTCATACTCTAGGAGTGATGTTTCTAATCTACCTCTCCTTACTACCCCAAACCAAACATTCCTCAATTGGGACAATTACATGGTCTGACCATGCGGACATATCCCTCACAATCAATATCCCCTTGACGAAAAGATCGTGGACCTGGCGACTAAACCACACCTTACGTCATAACCCCAAAATCAGACAGACTTTACATAGAGAACTAAGGGACTACTTTACAATAAATAAAGACTCGGTACACGCGGTGAGCATGCTATGGGTGGCGCACAAAGCCTTCATTAGAGGCAAAATGATCGAACTAGCTAGCAGACCCAAAAATGACCAGAACTAGAAGACCACCTGCTATCGTTACGGGCCATAACAGCCCAACGCAAACAGGACCCCTCGCCCAAATAAAAACCCACCAAAAGGCCATCAAAACGTTCATGACCAAAGACTCTCAAAAGGCATTCCAGTGGACTAGACAACTCTTCTATGAAAAGTCCAAGAAAGCAGACTCCCTCCTTGCTCGCAAACTAAATCGTAAAACCCAAGCCAAACACATAGACACAATCAACTCACCCAAGGGTAGCAGCCACAACACTCCTGACCATATAGCCTCTATATTCTCAGACTACTTCACAGCACTATACGACCACAACCCAGACATAAACAGCCCAGCTTCCAATGGACCATAGAATCCTATTTTAACGAAACTCTTGCATTGACGGACACAGCGAGGGCTAAACTCTCTGCTCCCACCACGTTATAAAAATAGCTCACACACTAAAAACAATCAAACCACATAAATGCCTGGGTCTGGTCGGCTTTACAGGCCTCTACTATAAGATGTTCTCTCACGTACTGTTGCCCCACCTTACTACACTTTACAACTCGCTCCTGCTAGGTGAAGCACTACATGCCTAGGACGAACATGTCTCATCCTGAATCCGAACAAAACACACCAGGACCCGGGACATTATCGACCTATCTCCCTCCTCAATGTAGACTCCAAAATCTTTACAAAACTCCTAGCCAATCGCATACATCCCTATCTTCCAAAATGTGTTCACCCTGGCCACGTGAGTTTTATACCCTCCAGACAGGCATGTGATAACACTAGATGCACACTAGACTTGATATGGGCGGCCCAACAGACAGATCCCAACCCTACTCCTTTTGATGGACGCCAAAAAGGCATTTGACCGCTTGCTTTGGCCTTTCCTCTTTGCCACCCTCCAGAAATTCAAATTCCCCACAACCATCATCAAGGCTCTAAAAACCCTGTATACCCAACCTACAGCTACACGTCTCAAACCCAATACGAAACCACCGGAATTCACGATTCGAAACGGAACGAAACAGGGATGCCTATTGTCCCCACTCCTATTCGCCCTCTCCCTAGAATCTTTGCTCCAAAACATACGCAACCCCCCATCAGTTCGAGGTCTGAAAATCAGGCACAACGAATTCAAAATTGCGGCATATGCTGGCGACATTCTCCTGACGATCACCGACCTGGTCCACTCCCTGCCACATCTACTCACACTTCTGGGACAATATGCTGACCTCTCAGGGTATAAATTGAACCTGGAAAAGACCGAAGCTCTCCCACTGGGAATACCACAACCAACCCTAGACAGCCTAAAAATCACGCACCCATTTAAATATAACACAAACAGCATCCACTACCTGAGCATACACCTTCCCACGGACCTATGCACGACATATACCTTAAATTACTCCTTCTGCTCCAACAAGCGCACATAGACCTGCACAACTGGAACCCCATGCCCATTTTCTGGCTAGGCAGATTAGCCATTTATTAAAATGAATCTCCTCCCCAAATTTCTATACCTGTTTCAGGCCCTACCCATCCCCATATCCAAAGAGGACTTCAAAACACTCCAAACAAGGATAGATAACTTTATTTGGTCCAATAGAAGTCCTCGTATCAAGAGGTCTACAATGTACAAAACCACAAAAACTGGGGGACTGGGACTCCTGAACTTCTATAACTGCTTTTAAGCCACCTAATTGACGCAAATACAGCACTTACACGCTCATCCAGGTTTAAAGTTATGGGTAGACCTCGAACACGACCTCATGGGCAGAGACCATCCCTCACTACTCTTCTGGCTCCCCAAGTAAGGTAGACCGTAAACCCTGCAGACATCCCCAGCCCTCAGCACGTCCTTCCTCATATGGGACAGGTCCGTCCCTAAATACCCACTGTAACGGCTACCCAGGGTAGAGAGGGGTATCTGTCATTGGCGACGTCCTTCCTCCGGGCAAGATGCTGGGCTGTAGTGGAAAAGTGAAGTCCCATCCGCTGGATCCCTGGAGCAATAGAGAGGCAGAGCTCTGAAAAGAGCTAGCGATTAAGCTGCAAATTCCCTTTCAACAACGAGACACAGCTACGTTTTGAAGGGTGAAGAAGAACTGACCCCACTGAGCATTTATTGCTGCTTTTATGCAGGATTTTACAGGTTAGACACCATCCACTGGACCTTGTGGGGCACCGACAATACAGTTTCAGCAACCAATCATACACAAGATTACAATAGAGCACACCCAGCAGTTAGTGAATTCCTCCCCTCTGCTTAGGAGATAATTAAGTTAATTAACTGTATCTACTCAATTATCTCCAAGCTGAAAAGTTAGATTTTAAAAATATATTTTCATAACTTCTTGATTTTATATCGTGCAAACTTACTGATATAACTTGGGGACAAACATATCCAAAATTTGTGAAAATCCGTTCAGGGGTTCCAAAGATAGTAAAAAAGTCCCTTTGACCGACCGCAAGCACATTTTTATGCCCAAAATAGTTCCATAGATTTGGGCTGTGCGGTCTGTCTATTTTACCCTGAAAAAATGACTAAGTCCCATTCGAACCTGCGTTCGAATCTTCGAACGGGATTTAGTCTCTAGCTGCAGTGTCCAAGGGGAGTAGAAGGTACAGGTCAGCGGTGTTCGCGCAATTGGGTAGCCGAAAATAGTTCCATAGATTTGCTGGCACACACCGCTGACCGTGTTTGAATGAATCAAAATGGCTGCCGCCATGTGTTCGATTTTCGAATGGCGGCCACTTCTACTACTTCGGCTGCATCCGTTGTGCCTGTTCAAAACTGCAGATCCTTCCCCAAGGTACTTAAAGGGACAGAAACAGTCTTTTACAAGTCCATGAGCCCAAATAACCTATTACTGAAGGTAAAACAACAAATAGTCTGAGTTCACATTATACTGGTTAACTGGGGGTTTTTGTTACACCCACTCATAAACATGCCCTCGCCGCTCATTCCAATCTTGAGGAACAAACAGTTTCCTCCTGGAATGACACCCCAAAACTTTGCACACTACGAAGACAACGGACTCTTGAGATTCTTCCACTTCTTTCGTGCCCACCTACTGATACAGTTCCCGGACATACCCAGAAACACACCACTAAATACCTTTGACCATTTCCGATACCTACAAATTTGAAGCTTCTTCAAAGAACCTCCACAGCCACCACTAAACTGACACATTTTGAAAGCACGTGCATCCAAATATCAGTTCACAAAGGGCAAATTTCCTCTATATACCTCCAAATGAACGCTGCCTCCCCAGAGGATGCACTCTTGTACACCAAAGCATGGGAAAGAGACATAGGCCCACCAAGCGACCCCTCGGACTGGACTGACATATGGGAGGCCGCAGCCTCACTCACAATTTGCTTAAACTACAAGGAGCAGGCCTACAAAACGCTGCTCCGTTGCTACCTGACGCACTTACGACTGAAACAGATATGACATACCGCTCACCGTAAACCACACCGACCCCGCTCCCTACACAGTACCAACCGCCTCCCACAACCCCCTCGCTCCACCACCCCCTTTCCCAAATCTCACACCCCCTCTACCACCCCCCCTCCCCCCACCTATCCCATGTACCTACCTATAATATCTTACTATAAACACAATACTCTCCATTGGAGAAGCATCCATACGATGCAAACCTCCGGCGAAATACATTCGCCGACCTCACTTATCCACACCTGACCTAGAATGACCCATAGATGCCCGCAAACCACCACTCACGCGATGTCGGGCGAGAAATGCCCGGGTTCCACCCGGGACAATCCACCCACACGAGACCACACAGACACCTGATACTTAGGGATCCAATTCCCAACCTTACCCTAAATCACCTTACCCTCACCTGCAACAAAAACTCCATGACCCCAACAGCCTCACATACGCTACTTGTATATACCAATGACTCACATATCCAGAGCATCTATAAATATACAGAGACCCTCGACAGGATCCCCACGGGAACTTCACCCACTAAAACAAAAATTGGCTAGATACTGAAACTAGGCATTAAATGACTGCATAATTCCAACTGTAATGCAAAAAATGGACAAATGTATCAACGACTTTATGGCGAACTCTATCCCTCCCTACTTTCCATTCTGTATCCCAATATAAATGATGATATAACCTGAAAATAAAGAATTTACAAAAAAATATGTATATGTGGGGTGTTTTTCAGAGATTTATGACCAATAACAGTGTTACAATGTCACTATTGATAAATTTTAAAAATGTATATTTTGAAACCGCAATATCCTACTTGTACTTATAGATCTATAGCTTGCAAAAAAGCCGGTAAACACTGGGCGTTTTTAAACTTAGGACAACATTTTGAATCTTTTTAGCAGTTTTTTTTTCATTAGCTTTTGTGGAAGAGTAAAAGATTTTTCAAGTAAAAGTCAAACATGTTTTTTTTTGTTTTTTATTTTTTTCACTATATTTTATTATTTTTTTAAAATGTAATTTTGGCATGAGACATAATGGTATGTAAAGAAAGCCCTTAATGTAATTGAAAAAAGAAATATATAATTTGTATGGGAACAGGAAACGAGAGAGAGAAAAATTACAGCTAAACATAAACACCACAAAAGTGTTAAAACAGCTCTGGTCCTTAACGTACAACATGGCCAAAACAGTCCGGTCGTTAATGTGTTAAGCACTTATCAGTTTTTTTTCATAACAGAAGAAAATTGTTTTCAACTAGAGACTCTGTAGAGGGTGTAATGTTAATTCTCAAGTATTTGATGTGATGTGCTCAAGTAAAGCCAATTTTTTTCAATACATTTGTCTAAAGAGTCAATGTAGAGATTTTTGGTTAAAAATACTGACTTATCAATGTTAAATTTATGGCTTGCGTGTTAAAAGTATCATTCAAGTTTTTTAATTGGTGCTTTTAGAGAACCTTCGAGATCTTCCAATGTCAGGAGAATGTCGTCCGCATATAAATGAATTTTGCTGTATCAAATACTATAGTCCTTGGTGTGTGCCGTTTTCTATCGGGAAGCCCTCTGAACTAATATTAGGTCCCTTGACTTCAGCGGTAGGTCCAGTATATAGAGCCCTGATTGTGTTCATCATTCCCTCCCCAAAACCATATTATTTGGGCAAACTAGATGGGCCCAATGGTTCTTATCTACTGTCACATTCTATGTTTCTTTCCAATGCTTTGAACATAAAATCCCATCCTAACCTATCAAAGGCTTTCTTGGCATCTATTGATAGAATAATTGTGACTCTATTTCTGTTCCATCTATTATGTTATTCTTCTCATGTTATTGCCAATCATTCGGGAACTAAACCTACACAATCTTTTCCAATTAGTGTTGGACTAATTTTCC